TCGAATCGTGGATTGTTCTCAGCACTTTATCGTCGCTGTGTTTTGACTGGATGCTCTTCCACAACCACAACGGCCTCCGATCTCTGATACTCGAGCAAATGACAACACCGTCTCCCACTGGCATCGCTCGCGGGTCTCGACACTTTGAGCTGACATGATTCTCCACACTCCACACTCCACACTCCACACTCCACACTCCACACTCCACACTCCACACTCCACACTCCACACTCTGGGATCCATGCACTCCCCATCTCTCAAGGGCGGGACAGTGCTCTATGTCCGCGCAGACGTGCACCGCAACGGCGTCAACTTTCCCCCGTTCTATCTGATCGGATCAGACTGGGACGCCAAGTATGGCGGCTATGACGGCATCGAGACCGAGGGACTGTGCTATATCGCCCGGACGATCGGATATCGGTGCTGGGCCATGCCACACATCACCGTGTCCCACACCGCACAACAGGAGAACCCCAAACCCAAGGGCAATGCCGAGTGAATCCGAGTCACGCGAGTAGTGGAGCTTTCCGCAGGGGCCACATTCAACTTCACTTTGCATCAAAGTTAATTTCTCGAGATCTCTGTCTGCTATCAGCCTGTTTTATTGAGCCGTTCAGGCTGATTTCGAATCCATTCCAATCGAGGGTCTCATTTTATTGCACAAACACCGTGCCTGAGAGTCATATTTAACCTGGCTTGAAGACGTGGCACGGCCATGCTTCCGTCCCTCTCTCTGTCCCAGCACCGGCGATCGTTTAAATGGGCAAGGACAAATATCATCTCATGAAACTGGAGCGCCACAGTTCCGTATGTGTGTATTGGGTTCTGATAGTGCCTCTTTGTGAGTGGACGAGAATGCTCTGGGCCTCATCTGGTCCTTCTTCCCCTTCCCAAGCCGCTGCGTTGGCCGATCAGATCAATGCCGCTGCGATGCTGATGTCTGAAAGCACTTTCCTCAGGACTGCTGATGCTGCTGCGGGGTTGTCTTGCGGCATGCTGTGGCCCGCATTCAGCACCCTGAAATGGGTCAGCCCTCGGTCCGAGGTAACAGATCCGAGCTGTGAGCCGTCGGAGTTGGTCCATGTTTGGTTGCTAGACTGGATAGATCAAAAAAAAAAGTCAAGTTCTGTAACGAGAAACATCGAGCCAAGACCAAAAGCCGGGCAAATGCAAAGTCGTGTCCAATCGACTGGATGGGCCGGCATCGATACACCGATTTTCTTCGTTGAAAATGAGCGTACCGTAAATCCCGTCTTGCCCTGCCAGGTCAGCGATGCAATCATGGCATCTAGGCCGATCGAGCTTGAAACGATGTCAAACTGCGAACTGAGAAGACATTGCAATGACATTTAGACGACTGCACGTGTCCGGCAAAACATCATGGTACAACAGGCTTCACAGTCGCTCGTATACCTTGTGATGTAAACATTCAGACCCGCATTGAGGAGCTGGGTCAGGACAGTGTCGCTGGCTGGGCTCCCATCAGGCTCCAGAGCTTGTTGGACGAGGTTTGAGCAGGCAATGTAGGTGCGCGGAGCTCCCAGGATAAAATTGTGGGTTGTCAGGCGGAAGATGAGGCTCTAACAGAGGCGCAAACGCCGTATCAGTAGACCCGGCTTTGTGACATTGCCTCAGCATTCCCGCAATATTGACAAACGCACGACTGACTTGGATATTCAAACCATCAAGGTCCGCGCACTTCCAGCTCTCTGGAAACAAGCCGTGACTCACATTTAGAAAGCCGATCAAGACAACATCGCCGTTTGTGAACGACGTCGGACATATATCTTGGGTGCCTGACCGAACGTTGTATTCATTGAAGCATTGTGTTCTAGATGCAAAGCAGGAGCAGGATGAGAAGTCGCTCGCGAGTACAGGTGACGCTTGCTCGACCAGAGGAGCAATCGACAAGCGAGCACGTCGGCAGCATATGTGCATGATACCCGCTGCATGTTCGTGAAGCATGGTCACAGTGCATCACGACATCGGTGTCAAATTTGCCTCTCATCCACTTGCGCTGCTCACCCATTGGTCAGGTCACTGATAAAGAGTCGCATGTAATCCAGAAGCGACTCGCAGATGGCAATGTAGGTAACTGGCCCCAGTGCCGAGATTTGAGCCTGGCACGCTGAGTTGATGCCCTGGAGCGCTGTCTGGATGAGTCGATATGGGTGAGATTCGAGCTTCCAACCTGTCCGCCAGGGAGCCGTTGTTGTGGCAAGAAGGTTGGAGCAGCGCCGGCTGCCGTTTGGGAGTGGCGGGCTGCGATCTTACCAAAGCTGTCTGGTTGTTGTTCAGCTGCGTTGCCCAGTTGCTCATGATGTATCGGAAGTAGCCCGGGTACTGTTGATGTCGTTGCAACTCGGGTCAGGAGCAATCCATCACAAATCAACCCAGCTGCGGCCGTGGACATGACGGCGTGCCATGCACTTTACCTGGTTCTTGGGCTGGATCCATGGCGACATCAGCAGGAGGGCTTTGAGATTGATCTTGATGAAGCAACACATATGTCTGGGTGAGAGTCATCTCGCGGCTGATCCAGTATAAGACACCACTCGTATTGGCACGGTCTGCTCAGCAAGACATCAACCTGCTCGGACATACCACACCATTGCTCGTATACGATGCAATGTCGTTGCGCAGTTGGATTGTTTGCGCTAGATATGGAAGAGTAATGCCTGCATAGCTCTCACCCGCAAGAATCACCTGGCAAAGCCGCAGAGTGAGAAGTTCGAGAGATCAAATTCTGTTGGTTGGATCAAGAATTCACAAACCCAAGGATGCAGCCCGAGGCTGGGGCGACAATCCGGTGGATTGCGAAGCAGGATCGAGTTTGACGACCGACGATGCAATCCCCGGTAGAATCCGCAAGAACTCGCTTACATTGGCGCCTTCCAAGCCACTGAAAGTCACCAGGAATCGCCGAATAAAGGAGTAGAGCATCTCGCCGATTTGCCGTTCGTCGGTTGCTGGCCCGCCCGAGTTGGTGTAGCTGAAGCCTGTTCCAACAGGCGAGTCCACTGGATCGATGCAAGACGAGACGACTAAGAACGATAATCCCGACAATCCCGACAATCCCGACAATCCCGACACTCCGATCCAATAGCAATGGCTTCGATCTCGCTGGTGATGGTATTGGGGGGAAAGAGTGAAACGCCCGGGAACTACGCACCAAAGACGATATCTGCTTGTAGATCCCAGCTTTGCGGGTTGACAAAGACGCTCCCGTTGGTTGGGTAGTAGTGAAGCGGCCCTACTTCTTGGAACAGCGACACCAAGCTAATCATGGCCAAGAAAATGAGCGCGAGGCAGGGGAGAGCCGGAGGCGCATCTTCTCGCGGCATTCATTTCAAGAGCGGCATTCTCTTTATTCTCACCTGGAGCTGTGATTTCGGGCACGACACCGGCGGTGGTTTCGCGACGACAACAGTGGTTCAAGTTTGAGAATGAATGGTATGCAAATCGAGCTGTCTGGGATCGTGGAGCAGAGGACATGGTCATGGTACAAACCATCCGGGCCCGCCTTGAAAGTAAAAGATCTATAGGGGACGTTGTTGAGGCACACCCGAGGCAGATCAGAACGAAGCGACTTATCTCCGATTGCGAGAAGCATCGATCGTCGTTTACTGGATATTCTGTCGAATGGAGTCGAGTGCTGGGGCCATAAGTGTACCCACCACGTTTCTTGGATTGCTGGGGCTTGCTCGAGTCGGAAAATACCAGAAGAATGTGTTGGCGACATAGGACTGGTTTGCCACAGGACCCACATTGATGTAACCAGCGAAAGAGCCTTGGACGAGTGCCTTCGAGGGCGAGTCAAAGCCAGTGAACATCTGCACCTGGAGAGGCGACAGAGCAAAGCTTGTTGCTGGAAGGCGATCGACCAGGAGGAGAAGACAGAGACATGGGGATAAGAGCCAAGCATAATCCCACTCGACTCGGCTAGGCTTGACTGCGGGCACAATGAGGGAAGGCTGGAGCGGCAGATCAACATAGCGTCTCGAGGGAGTAGCGATCCGCCAGGGGTCTTACTGGATTGCAGGTAGCCTGAGAACCAGGGCATATTCCAGGGCAAGGCCGAGAGCCCCCGGTCCATGAGCAGCGCTTGGGCCTGCACAACCAGGGCAAAGAGCCAACAGAGAGCTGCAGAGACCATGGGACACTGGGGCACTGAGGATAACAGATGCTTGGCGAAATGGAAGGATGCACGGACACCGACAGGTATTTTGATCGTGAAGCCCACGGCGATGCCTGGCGAAGACGGACGAGGGGCGGGGGGAAGAAAGGATGCATATGACAGTCGGAAACGGATGGGGATATAAGAGTTGGATGCGGTGTCTCCCACAGCGGAGGACGGCCTGGCGACAGATGTCTCCCTGAGCGGCAAACGTCCTCGGCTGAGCGGTGCAGTTCAGACGAGGGACGCTGGCAATGGTGCTGGGTCAAAGCGCTGGCAGGGATCGCCGCCGAGCCCGGGGTCGGGGAGTGAGAAAGTGATAGCATGGAAAGCATGCTGTGTCCATCCTATGGGATCGATTTGCCCATGGAGTCGATTCGGTTTGTCCATGGAGTCGGTTGGTTGATGGAGTCGGTTTGTTGATGGAGTCGATTCGGTCTGTTGATGGAGTCGATTCGGTCTGTTGATGGAGTCGATTCGGTTTGTCCATGGAGTCGATTCGGTTTGTTGATGGAGTCGGTTCGGTTTGTCCATCAGTCAACATCGTTCAAGCAACACAAACCCTCTGCATGTTGAAGTGTCCCGTTCTACATAAACTCGGCAACTCGATACTCTGGGACAGCCGATCTGTCCTGCCCTGGTTCTCCTCTGGAGCAATCGCCCGGAGGCACTTCTGTCCCGGGTGGCCACTCGGCCCGTGGCCCCGATGCTTGCTCCTCCACCCGGCCCCGCATGACCTGTTTGCTTCTTTCGACGGCCCTGGCTGGCCATGATGGCGGAAAGAAGCCCCGTGGTGGTCGTTGGCTTTTCTCTTCTGCTGGTGGCCGTCGTCCTCCCGCGCGCGCTCGCCTCAGCGTCTCCGCTCTGCCCTCCGCCTCTCCGCTCTGCCCCTTCCGACCTTCCCACCGCCGTCGAGAGATTTAACCCACCGTTGAGCCGGTCTCGCTCTGTCGTTTCGTCTTTGGTCTTCTCTGCCCTCGTCTTCGATCCAGTCTGCGAAACATGCAACGGTGGCCCAAGCCCGTGTCCTTGATCGTTATCGTCGCCTTGGTGCTGTTACTCGCTGCGCTCTTCTCAAAGGTTCATGACGAAAGCGCTCCGCTCCATTCCTCAAGGCATGGCGGTGACCTGATCAGAGCTCACGGCGGCTCTTCGTCCCCCAGAATCATCATGGATACCCTCCGAGTGGTCAACTTCAGGTCGGCCGAGGCCTTCGAGACAAGCCCTATTTTCAAGGGCGACAAGCATCCTGACTACGATCTTGTCGTCGATGTCGGTAAGACCCATCAATGCCAAAGCCAGTGCAGTTGCCACCGGAGCGGATACTTGGAGCAAATGCTTGGGTTGCGGACTTGTGGCCCGCTCCGTCGCGAACGCATATATACAAGCCCGCATTGTACTTGCTCCCCTCTCCCAGAGCAGGCTGGCTCGATCGCGGACTAACGATGCCGATGCTTTGCATACGCCTTTCCAGGCACATATGACGGAGCTGACTTCACCATCCCAGCGTACAAGAAAGGGTACACGGTGTTCTCCTTCGAGCTGAGTCCCCAAAACCAGGCCCTCACCCTCGATAACTTTGCAAAGCTGGGACTGGCTCCGGGCAAAGACTACACCGTTGTCGATGTTGTTCCCGGTAAGGGCAGAGGACGGGATCGGTGATTGTCATGTTTCCGATCTGTGGCCACAAATGTCTCTTGATCTGGGCTGCCATATCAGCACAGCCCGCCTCATTCAATCCACCATGAAACTGCAAAAGCTGACCGGCGCCACTCCCGTTCCGGTTCTGCGTCTTGAACTGCCCAGGCACTGTTCCTGACGTCAATACATCCAAGCGACCACACATCTACTTCTTCAAGGCCGGTGCCTCGAACCGAACCGTTGGCGTCAGCGCCGCCAAAGACGGCGTCTTCACCGAAGTTTCGCATACCCCCGGCTCCCTCCCGATCGTCCGCATCGACGACATCATCCAGCCAAACGAGCGGGTGTATTTGTTCAAGGTTGACGCTCAGGGCCACGAGTATCCCGTCACCGACGGGGCTCGTCAACTGCTCCAAAACAACGTCCACTCGTTGCAAATCGAGTTCTGGCCCACGGAATCCAGAAGAACGGAGATGATCCCAAGAAGCTCCTCCACAACATCTACGACTGGGGTAAGCGGGAGCAGCTCCCTGATAGCCCTGTTCTGGAGGTTGTGACGGCCTTGCTCTTGCTTCTTGTGCGGATCTGGACGAGCAACTGAACTTGGCTTTCTTGATTCTTTCTTTTGCAGGATACCAGTGCTTCGATATGGCTTCCACTCGGACTACATTCCGTACAACCGCCCATCGGATATCAGTGGGTTCGTTGATCATCTTCTCACTGTGCCGCCGTCCAAAGACCCCATCGGAGGCTGGGAGGACATGATCTGCATCAAGTAGTAGTCCCAGCACTCCATCCCGGACCACACGGGAATATGCTCGCGGGAACGTGCTCATGGGAAGATGTTCATGGGAATATGCTCACGAGGGAGAGTACACCAATACATTTCAGCCCGTGGTGCGGCACCGGGAAGCCAGAGCCATGTCCATCATATGCCGAGCAGATCATTCCACAGGCTCAGTACGAGCCGTGGGTCGGATTAGCCCACACCGAGGACTTGAGCGCCCAGAGCCGCACCTCCTGCTTGCTCAGGATCTTGAAGCGAGGCTGTCGCTGCGTGGGCGTAGTTGTAGGTCGTTGGCGAGCGGGTGATGGACGCAAGTGGTCCCCTCGATCATACGGTGCTGCACCAGGCCGCAGGAATACGCTTATGGGATCGTAGTACTGCCCTGACGAGACCTCCAGCGAGTCCATGTTCCTGACCGGAATGATCTTCCTGGGCGAAACTTCCTTCACGGCGCGAGAATGGTGGCTCGGGATGCAGGTGTTTGGGCGAGTCTTGAGCTCCTTTGCTCTGGAGATGTCTGGGCAGGGCGGTGGCAGGGACTCGATGCCCATCTCACGCAGCTCTTGCTTGGTGAACGACGATCGGGGCTCGGGCACAATCGAGGTGCGGCTTGGAATCAAGCTGTGGCGATTGTGCACAGGCGCCGAGGACGGTCGATGAGACTGCTCGTCCGGTCCGATGGAGCGGTATGAGACTGTCTTTCGTCCTCTCGAACTCGATGTCGGGCGGCTGTTGGGCGGGCTGGGGGTGAGGGTTCTTGCCGGTGAGAGTTGTGGTGTGCCCCTTCCCGTGTCGGTCCCATCTGCCTGGGTGAGCTCCCGGACCGAATCCCTGACCTCGCCGAAAGTCATTGCTTGGAGTCTGGGTATCAGGGCTCCGAGTGGTGGCAGTCGAGGCCGGACGGCATGGCCACGACGGACGAGCCGATATTGGAGTTGCCTCGGCCGTCGATGCTCCGTCAAATACACTTTCAATGCGAGGTGTTATCGGGGTGGTGAGGACTGTCTCGGGGCTGTCTGTGTGCGTTGGGATCAGGATGGTTGGCTTTCTGGAGATGGACCGGGTCACTGCTGATGGTGCTCGGGTGGTCTCACCGGATTTGACGACAAGATCGGGATTTTGGAGGGAGAGTCGAGATGGAAGTGGAATGATGCTGAGAGAAGCCACGCTTTCCTTTGGAGGGTCTTCTTCGGCGAGAGGCTCGGTGGTGATGATGGGCTCGGCATCAGGCGGGGGCAGGAGCATGAGAGTCGGGGAAGTCTGAGCAGCCGAGTCGATGCTTTGCTCGGATACTGCCGATTTGCTGGCGGTGCTGCTTCCCGAACCAGTACCCCTTCGGGCCAAACTGGGCCGGGAGAAGGTGCTCTCCCTCGTTCCTTGACTTGGTCGGCATGAGGCACTTTGTCCAGATGGCACACTCTTCCGAGTGGCACTACTCGGCCTTGCTGACGCCGGAACGGAAGCGGCTCGGTCGCTCGGCTCGGGGTGTGCTCTGGTCTGCTCCTGGTCCAGGCCCTCTGTTGGAAGCCGTGAAGCTCTTGTCAAGCCCTGGATGTGCTCTTGCAGAAGCTGCTGCTGCTGGGCTTTCAGCATGCCAAAGAGCTGCTTCCGGGGATTCTTCAAGAAGCGGGTGCGATCGCCCCTCACGAGGCCCTCTGTCAGAGCCTGCTGGAGCTGTGTGCGGCTCAGATGCACATGCTCTGATTCACGGGCCAGCACCAGCTCCGAGAGCTCCCGGGGTGTCCGGCTCTGGCCCGCCGAAAACGAGTTCTTGAGATGGCACCAGGGCACCACCTTGAGCTTCTCGGCCACGAGCAGGGATTGGCATGCCCGGGTGAGTCCCTGCATCGACTCGTACACAGGCTCACCAAGGTTCTTTGTGGCCGGCGCTGTCTCGGCGAGATATTGGCGTGCCCGGGGATGGGCTGCGAGAGGGTCGTTCAGAAGTTCATCGGTGCGGCGCGCGGTGTTTTGCAAGTAACTGTGGACTGAGTCGGCTGCCTCAAGCCGAAGATGCTCCTTGAAGCGCCGTTGAGCGGGAAGGCGAAAGGCGAGCGGAGGAGGATCTGGAGATGGCCGATGAGCAGATGGGATGGCAGATGGCAGATGGGCAGATGGGCAGATGGGCAGATGGGCAGATGGGCAGATGTGCAGATGGGCAGATGGGCAGATGGGCAGATGGGCAGATGGGCAGATGGGCAGATGGGATGGGCTGTTAATCCGAGGTTGGGGGCCGTCATGAATCGCCCAGGTACTCGAGATGTCACTGCTCCGCTGGCAGACGGACTGCACCTTGATCAAAGGCGACACCTCTGCCGAGGTGCAGGATCTTTTGGCACCCAAATGGACCATGCAGGGGTGGAAAGTAAGGTTAGTTCTCTGCGACAAAGTGTCGCCACCCCTCATACTCGGCGGCGACTCAGTCTCTGGGAACCAACAAGTGTGCCTGTACCTTGAGCAGCTTGGCGACTTCCTCAGGAATCTTGATGACCCGCTCGAGTCCTATCTGGGCAGGTTCATAGACAGAGACACAGTCGGATAGCGTAAGCTTGGTGCTCAGTTGTTTTTGTCTCTTTGGGCACAGTGTCTTGAAGCTGCCGTGATGTCCCGGCAGGAGCGCCGAGACAAACGCATTCCCACACCCGACCGGCTCCATCGGGTAACCAAGACATGTGCCGGCCCCTGCTCTATGGACCGCTCACCAGATGGTTGATGTCATCCTGAATCGAGTCTGGCAGCTCGGCCTCGTATGCACATGCCTTCATTTCAAGCAGCGAGCATTTGCCAAGG